ATTGCAGAAGGCTATTTTCAGGGTGATTTCTATTTTAAAATGTTCTTTGAAGGAGCAAGATATTTCGTTCCACTATCCAAGTAGAGCATCAAATAAAATAACATACAATAATGTTAATCATAAGGTAATCTGAAGTAATGTTCTGATTACACAGATTGACTGAGAATATCTTCTTTGCTTTTTAATTAAAAATGGGCAAGAGATCAGTAAAATACTGTTATTTTAAAATAGACAGCAATTTGATCTCCCAGCAAGAAAAACTTTTATTTCTGCTGGCAAGTTAATGTACTCAAGCCTATTTACTTGCTGACATATTTTTTTCCAGACAAAAAGCACAGCCTTGGATAGAGAAAACTGTGTTCAGAACTCACTCAGCGATCACTATGATAGATATTATAAGAACTTCCTTTTCTTTTTCTTTTTTTTTTTTTTTTGAGACACGGTCTTGCTCTGTCACCCAGGCCGGAGTGCAGTGGTGTGATCTGGGCTCACTGCAACCTCCGCCTCCTGGGTTCAAGCAATTCTCCTGCCTCAGCCTCCTGAGTAGTTGGGACTACAGGCACATGCCGTCATGCCCGGCTAATTTTTAGTATTTTAGCAGACACAAGGTTTCACCATGTTGACCAGGCTGCTCTCCAACTCCTGAGCTCAGGCAATCCTCCCGCCTAGGCCTTCCAAAGTCCTGGGATTACATGCCCGGACCAAGAACTTTCTTATATCCCATCTTTGGTTGCCTTCCTGAGTCCGTGGCATGTGGTGCCTGAGTACTGTGAGATGTAGCGACAAATGGCACTCCCAGAAGGAACATTTAAAATCCAGTCTGAAATTGTCCAAGCCCTCTTTCAATGCCTACATAAACTTTGAAATTTTATAATTTCAGAATAGGTTGCTACACTTCCCAGAAATATTTGTGTATTATCTGAAAGAATTAAAGAATTCAGAAGCCCATATTTCAGAAAGCCACCATAAGAAAAGGGTTAATCATTGAATTAAGAAAGATGGTCCGAGCATGGTGGTTCACGCCGGTAATCCCTGCAATTTGGGAGACTGAGGTAGGTGGATCACCTGAGGTCAGGAGTTCAAGACTAGCCTGGCCAAAATAGTAAAACCCTGTCTCTACTAAAAATACAAAAATTAGCTGGGCGTGGTGGCGGGTGCATGTAATCCCAGCTACTTGAGAGACTGAGGCAGGAGAATTGCTTGAACCCGGGAAGCAGAGGTTGCAGTGAGTTGAGATGGCGCCACTGCACTCCAGTCTGGGCAACAAGAGGGAGATTCTGTCTCAAAAAAAAAAAAAAGAAGAAGAAGAAGATGTATTTGTCTCAAGCATCATGTTGAGACGAAAGCACCGTGAGACTGCAGCCTACCAATGACACACCCCAGGGGGTGCGCTGCCCCACAGTCGTCTGTTCTCCTCATCAGATTTTGCAGGAGCGAGAAAGAAACATTTGTTGTATTCAGCCACCAAGAATTTGGGCCATTGTAGCTCCAAAGCTTGTTAGTTTCGAAGCCACCCTCACTGATTACACATGATTAGCACAGGCAGGGTGTCCGTGAATTTACAAAGCCAGGACCCCTGGCATCGCCCTATCTTAGACTAATAAATGACTGTGATTTGGAAATACTTATAATCGTAAGCTTAGAAAATCTGCACAGAAAGGTGAGCTGATCGAAACCAAAATATGTTAGGCACAGATTCTTTTTTGCTATAATAAAAAAAATTTTGAGTCTGCTTTTGTCATGTAGATATCAATAATGTAGCACTAGGAGTGGGAGGTGACTGAGAATATACACCAACCTATATTACAACATTTTCTTTCTATATTACAACACACTTCTGTAATGAAGTCCTACAATAAACTAAGAGCCCCACAGAGGGAAAATGTGATTGTTTGCAAGGTGAAAATGACATATTATCATGAGTACAGCCACATAAACTATGACAATGTGTATTTATTATGAGACAATGCATATAATCACACAGCTTCCAGAGAGATGACTGAACAACATCTCAGGGGAGGTCCACCACTATCCCATCTAGTGTTACTGCAAGGAGGGTAGGCGGGGCAGGTCCTCTAGGTCTTCCTTTCAGTTACATAATGTACAAGAGAAAGCGTCTTTGCTTTTTTTATTCTTGGAGAAAAAGCTCTGAAGCTTTAGCTGACTCAGTTACTTCTTTTCCTTTAGATGTGATCCCTTTAAAATAATCTGCTGGCAACCAGGTTGATGGATGAACCTCAAAGAAGGACTTAATGATGAAAGGATCAATAGCTTTTACGATTGCTCTAAAGAACCAGATAGCTGTATTTAAGATATAACTGGAATTTCCTTTTACGAGAAAGAACAGGTTAAACTTGAGAAGAAAAAAGACAAGCGATATATAACAGTACTGCTGACGCTTAGTCTTCGCAACTATAAATATACAAGACCTCAAAGATCACTATCTGTCCTATATTTTAAGGCGCTTGTTGCAATGCACAGGATACTGTCGGCCCTTAAATGAGAAAACACGAGATGACACGGGAAAACACAGGATGACAAGCTAAGACATCTAAAAACCAGAATGATCACCAAAGACCCTCAATGGACCCATACTACAAGTATGGAAAAGTAATGGCTGAAACTATAGGCTCAAAAATAAACATGTGCAAGAATTCCATGTGGTGTGGTGTTAAAAGCTCAGTCTTTGGAACCAGGCAAACCTGGAACTGTGCGGGTAGCTGCGTGGCTGACTGTACGGGTAGCCTATGTAATTTCTTCAGGAGTGTTTACCTGCCAGGCGATGACCAAAGTCTACAGTGGAGGTCAACAAATGACAGCAGCCAAATCCTGCCTGCTGCCTGTTGCTGTAAACAAAATTTTAGTGAAATACTGCTACACCCACTGTCTATGGCTGCTGGGAGGAAAGGTTGAGAAACAGGGGATGAGCTTGGCCCATCTAACTGTGCAGGAAACACGAAGACTGTAGAGTGATGGGTCTGTGTCAAAAGCACGAGAAGTCAACATATATATGTTCCCAAAGGCTGAACGTGAAATAATTTGAATTTACATGAAATAGGGGATTAGAATAACAAACAATATTGCAAACAGACAAATCCAGAAAGTAAAATATTCTGTAAGACAACTGATCTGGTTTCTTCAGAAGTCAATGATGTGAAGAAAAATGAAGGGACGCTGGAGGGGTTTGGGGGGCACTGATCCAAATGAAGGAGCCTAAGAGATGTGATAATGAGATGGAATGTCTGGGCTTCCACAGCACACTGGTGCCACCAATACAAATGACATGTTTGAGATGACCAGGAAATGTAGATATCGACTGGGTATTAAATAATGCTAACGACTTATTTGTATTAGGTATGATCATGGCACTAGGATTCTGGAAGAAATGGCCATTTGTTTCAGAGATGCATGCTGACCTATGCAGGGATGAAATGACATGGTATCTGAGATCTTCTTTAAAATGTTTCAGCCAAAATAAATAACGTAAGTGTGGCAAAGACTTATTGGAGCTGGGGAGTGGATAGGTGACCTTTTTCTGCTATTATCTCTATTTTTGTGTATGTTTGAGATGTTTCATAATATGAAAGAAGGATCAAGGGAAAGATGCTTCGGAAAAAGATTTCACGTGGAAATGAAGCTGTGCATGACTTTCCATTCTTTCTTTTAAGTTGGCCTGTGGGATCTGACCATCCCAAATCAACTTCCCCCAATACCTTAAGAATTATGAGCACTTACTGAGATAGTAAACAGCGATGGTGCTGATGTGACTGGATGTGTAGGTAGCGAAATAAATCATCCTTGAATCAAGTAACAAATGGCAAAGAAAGTGCTACCACAGTGGGTCTGGTGATGTGCTATTCTCGATTGCTACAGGAGAAATAATGCATTTTCGAGTATTTTATTATTTCCTTTATATGCTTTAAGTGCTCTGTCAGCTTGATCAATACAGAGAAAAACACATTTTCACTATCGTAAAAAGAACTAGTCAAAATCTACTGTGAGAATAAAATAAAATTAAAATGACTATTTTCTTTCAACAGCTATATTTCCATTGAAAGTTTGAGATAAGATGGTAAATGCCACTGGTAGAAAGCTGTGCAAAATGCTGCCATTCATTCCAAGGCAGGTGGTTTAGAAACTGCATTGACCAGCTGGGTGCAGTGGCTCACGCCTGTAATCCCAGCACTTTGGGAGACCAAGGTGGGCGGATCACCTGAGGTGAGAAGTGCAAGACCAGTCTGGCTAACATAGTGAAACCCTGTCTCTACTAAAAATACAAAAATTAGCCGGATATGGTGGTGGGCACCTGAGATCCCAGCTACTTGGGAGGCTGAGGCAAGAGAATCACTTGAACCCGGGAGGCAGAGGTTGCAGTGAGCTGAGATCATGCCAGTGCACTCCAATCTGGGCAACAGAGAAAGATCCTGTCTCAAAAAAAATTTAAAAAAAGAAAAAAAGAAAAAGAAAAAGAAAAGAAACTGCATTGACTGATGTGATAATGAGTCTATTTTCATTTCTTTTGGGGAGATGCTGGTGTAGAGATGCTTTTGGCTAAGAAAAACATCATCTTAGTTTTCACTTAAGGCTAAAAAGATCTAACAATTTTAATAACTGGGAAGACATCAATACAAATATAAACTTTTCTGTTCTAAAACTGTAGGAGATTATGACATATGAGGTGATGAAGCTAGGGGAGAGTCAACCATTTCCTGGGATTCTCTAATTCCGTAACTTACCTTGTGTACTGTTTTACAGTTCAAGAGGCGCTTTCCCATCCATTGCGCCATTCCATCTTTACTTCCACTCTGTGTGCAGGAACGGCTTTATAAAGTAATGCTCTACAAAGACACTGAGGCTCGGAGGGGCAAAATGATGACTTGATCAACGTCATACAGTTACCCAAAGGGTGGTGACAGGACTATTGATTTATAATCAATAAATTACTTAGAAGAAATTGGGACAAGAGTAACTAAAATGGAGACATGCTAACCCTTGCTTACCTTTCAAAGCCGATCTGCCGGAATGTCTTTTCCCATGTTGAGCCTGTAATGGAAGGTAGAAAGATAATCAGTGCACATCAAGGACTCAGATAGTTTTGTCTGGCTTTTCCACACACGCTAGATATTTGGTTTTATGTTTGGGTAGGATGACCGGTTTTTCTTCAAATGCATCACTCCCCACCTCCAGTCCCAGATGGCCTTTGTAGAGTACAGGAAATTTAGTAAAAAGTCTGCATTTACAGAAGTTGAGTCCACATAGGGATTTAAGTGCATATAACCTGCAATGTGGCTGGCCACAATGGCTAATGTCTGTAACCCCAGCACTTTGGGAGGCCGAGACAGGCAGATCACCTGAGGTCAGGAGTTCGAGACCAGCCTGGCCAAAATGGCAAAACCCTGTCTCAACTAAAAATACAAAAATTAGCTGGGCATGGTGGTGGGCGCCTGTAATCCCAGCTACTCGGGAGACTGAGGCAGGAGAATCACTTGAACCTGGAGGCAGAGTTTGCAGTGAGTCAAGATCGTGCCATTACACTTCAGCCTGGGCGACAAGAGCAAAACTCCATCTTGAAAAAGCAAAACGACAAAATCTGCATGTGGCAGAACTCTCTATACCAACCCCTCTGGTAAAGCACAGGCCACTCCAACAGTTCTCTAAAAATCTAAGCGTGTCCTACTCAGAAAAATATGGTGGAACTCTCCTGTTAAACATAATTAAACAGCTGTACATTCTAAAATTCAACTTGTAATTGTGTGGAGCAATCTGGAAAGCCAGGGCACACTCTGAAGTTCCAACACATCACCCACCATGCCTTTATCTCACCAGTGTTGAAGCACAGAATTCACATTTTCTTTTTTTTTTTTTTTAAGCTAAACATGTTAAATCAGAAGAATGCAAAAATGCTATTTCAATTGATACAAATAAAAAACAGTATATCTAAATCCGTAAGAGAAGGACAGCTGGGTATAAAAAAGATGTTATACAACTTTTCTATGTAATAATTCTTCCCTATGTCACAGGCATATAATAATTTTCTGAGTACATGATATAAGGAAAAGTGCTCATTTTTAGGAAAAACTGTTTTAATAAAAATTCTACATTTACCAAAATTAAGGATTTGTGCTAACCCATGGCATTTTTTTTACATTTTCCTGATGCTTAGTCAATAATAAACATATTTTGATTTCAGTAACTATTGCAGGTAAATACCCACTGAGCCCTAAATTCATAAATTGTGTTGTGCCCTAGCTGCTTGATAATCACAGCAGATAGTTATTGATAATTTCTGTCTTTCTGTTAGAGTTACTTCTGTAAACAGGAAATGGTGGGTTCAGCAGTGAGTTCCCAGCTAAAAGGCAGCTGAAAAGCTACCTGGCTTCTTTTCCTAAAGTCAGAATAAACTCGTACGGAGCTTAGGTTTATTTCTTGAGAACTCTGCCTCAAAGGCTTCATCTTCGGATGGCCACTCAGTGTCTCCTAGACATTAGGCTTCCTCAAGAGGAGTAGGAGGCCCCAGGGCCAATTCTGTGGCCTTCTCTAAGGACTGAACTAGTCCCAGGAGATCGTGATCATGGGCCAGGGAACCTGGGTTCATACTAGTTGGTCATGATGGAGTGTTTTAAATAATTTTCATAAATAATAAAGGACTACATTTCAGATGTGGATTAGATATGCACACACAATATAAAGCAGATTCAGGCTTATATTCTTAGATGAAGTCACTCTCCTCTGGCTGAATTCCAGTATGTTTTGCTGAGTAGGAGTGAAAAAAAAACAACACAGACTTTCAGCTAACCAGTCCAGGTATTTCTCTTGGTCCCGGGCCCAGGGGAGTGGGTCCCGTGTGACTGTCTTCGGTCCTGTGAGTCACATGCAAGACAATTAAGAATCCCTTTCTCAGGAATTCTTTTAAAAAATACTGTTTTTTTAAATTGACACATAATAACTGCACATATTTATGGGAACAGTGTGATATTTTGATACATATGTACGATGTGGAATTCTCAGACAATTATTCTGCCCCTGAAATCCTAGCAATTAAGAGACTGGCGGAGAACACATAGCCTGTGGAAGCCACAATGTGTTCAAGGCCAATGGCAACTGCCTGCCTAGACTAAGGGTGGGAGATGAGCCTCCTACCAAAGTGAGAACCAGACAGCCAAGCAAAGGCCACGTGTGGAGGGTCCCCGAGTGAGGAAAGCACTGGATGGTGAGGAGGCTGAGATGCTGCTCGTCTTGACTTCTCTTGCTTCATGGAAGAAACAAAGCACCTTTTACATTTTTCTGCATTTCCATTGTTTTCTCAGAGATGTTCAGTATTATTCCTACTTTTTATTTTTAGTAGGTTCAATTTTTTTCTTAATAGGTTCAATTTATTATTCAGGTGAATTTAATTTAAATGATTTTGCTCTACCACATTGTCAGGCTTTTTTAACAGAGAGTTTTCTTTTCTTTTCTTTTTTTTTTTTTTTTGAGATGGAGTCTCGCTCTGTCACCAGGGCTGGAGTGCAGTGGCGCGATCTCGGCTCACTGCAAGCTCCGCCTCCCGGGTTCCCGCCATTCTCCTGCCTCAGCCTCCCGACTAGCTGGGACTACAGGCGCCGCCACCTCGCCCGGCTAGTTTGTTGTATTTTTAGTAGAGACGGGGTTTCACCGTGTTCGCCAGGATGGTCTCGATCTCCTGACCTCGTGATCTGCCCGTCTCGGCCTCCCAAAGTGCTGGGATTACAGGCTTGTGCCACCGCGCCCGGCCAACAGAGAGTTTTAATTTAAAAATAAGCCCCACCTTCCTATTTCTGAGAAATGTAACCTTATTCAAATAGGCAGGACAAGTCAAAAGGTTTCGGTGCAAGACACTGTACTCCTGAGAATAAACATTAGGCCACTCAACCGGGCACAACAGCAGTGGCAGAATGCTTGCTTTCTATTCACCAGAAATCAACTTAATTAATAATTTTAGTATCTGACATACCACAAGCTGATCATTTTTTTGCTATTGATATTTTCCTAACCATCTTAATATGCTAGGTATGAGACTAGATATATTAAAATATGGTTTCTGCCCTCAAACTCCACATACCCTAGAGGTTTGGATTTTTATGTCTTTTGTGAACACTTAAGTCATGATGAAACAAGAAACACACAATAAATGGAACAGACATGTCCAGATCCTTTGGCACCAAGAATATTTCTGGCAGCCCATTATTCAGTTGCTGGGGAATTCTTTTAAAGCCATTAACCATACTCTACGTGGTAAGGTAATATTATTCACTTTCGCCAGAGCAGTCCAACATGGGGAAAGAAGTAGAGAAAACAAAAGTAGCTGGCAGACTCCCTTGATTCAACACTTTTTAAATGAGATTTATAATATAGAGAAGTTTAAAACATGTTATATTTTTTTCAGGAAAACCGAAACAGCAACAATAATTAAAAGGAAAATATATAGCATGGAGGATGGATGCCCAGTCATCTCTCAGTATTCACAGGGAATTAATTCCAGGACCCCTGTGGACCCCAGAATCTGCAAGTGTTCACATCCCTGATATAAAACAGTGTAGAATTTGCATATAACCTTGCATCCCTTCATACTTCAAACCATCTGTAGATTAATTATACCTAGTAATATATATGCTATGTAAATAGTTGTTATATTGTACTGTTTTTTATATTTGTATTGTTTTTATTGTTGCATTTTTTCAAATAATTTTGATCAGAGGTCAGTTGAATTTGAGGGTGCAGAACCTATAGATACGGAGAACCAACTGTAATACCTGGAAGGAACTTTTTCCTTTCAAATCTTAGATGAAGTCGTTAGAAATAATGAATAGTGATTCTTCACTTTCAAAAACTATCCTTTGTAGATCTACTGTCCAGTCCACAGAATTGAAATGCAGAGTGGAAGAAGGCAGAGTCCAGAGACAGTAAACAAACCTTGGACTAAACGGCATTTAGCTGCAGAGCAAGTCCTAGTGTTTACCACGTGTGTCCAGGGTGACAAACCAGCCTTTAAGCGCCTTCCAGATAGGATGCTTCCTCCTCAATAAGTAAACCAGCCATTGCTCCTTCATAAATGAACCCAGCTCTGCCTGTCCATTCTCCTCTCGCCCTCCCTCTTCCACCCTATCTATCAACCTCTGTGGCTTCCATTTTCCCTCCTCTCTGACAACGTTACTGCACCACGATTAGCATCAAGATGGAACCTCTGCCAATTTCTCCCCCTTTCTGGTAGGAAGCTCTCTCTCCTCAGCTGCTGGAAAGCCAGGCGCACCCATGACCAAGTTTGCTGCCACATGCAACAGCCTGTGTGTAAGAGGGAAGAATGGGTCATGTGTGCAGAGGGGAGCAGGGATGGAGAGAGGAGGGTGACTCCTCATGGCGTCCCCATCTGCCTCCGTGCCCTCCAGCAGGACGCCCTTGCCTTCCCTCACTTTCCAGTTACAGGCAAGAAAAAATAACCTGTGTCACCTATTCTCATTTTAAGTCGGGGCTCTGATACCTGTAGCTCAAAGAGCACTCAATATAAACAATGAAAATAAGAACAATTCCTTGAGCATCCAAATTTTAGGTGGTAAGGAAAGCATGTTTAACAATTTCCAGCCATCTTTAGTCCTATTTTAAATCAAGAGTGGCATTTCCCCCAAATTAACACAGCAATAAACAGTTTACACTTATTAATCCCTTACCAAGTAGGTGCTAACTTCCTATATACTAGCTAACTTAAGTTTCTCAAATACTCTGTGAAATTAGTACTATTATTACATCCCCTTTTCAGGTGAGGAAACCAAGGGTTAGAGATTAGGAACCCCAGGGCCAATGTTCTTATTTACTCATTGGATTGGATTGTCTTGGGGACTGTGTTCTAGTCTTCCCTTCCTTCTCCATATTCCTGTTTTTATTCTCCTATCAGGTGTCTCCCGCCTCCTGCCATCTGGTTATAATAATAATTTTAAAAAAACATCTTTTTTATTCTACAAAGCTTTAGTGTCTGATGATGAATTCTGGAAGCCTGTGAATGTCTATAGAAGTTCTCTGTCATGAAACCT